CCCCAAAACCCCAAAACCCCAAAACCCCAAAACCCCTTTATAAATCTCATTGGTTGAATCGATTATTCCTCGTAATCATAAGCTACAGCTTGATATCCGTATTGTTCTGATCCTTGCAGACCGACTTCGGCTATGACTAGGTGAACAGGCATTTCAGCAAGCCTATCGCTCATTCTTCCTTTGTTATAGATAGTTTTGTAAAATCCACTCTCTTCATTCACTAAATATTTCTGAAGTGCGACAGCTACACCACCACATAGATAGATTCCACTGTAGGATAGGGTCGTAATAGCCATATCTCCGACTATTACAGCCAGATTTTTGACAAATTGGTTGACAGTTGCTAAAGCAAGGGGGTCTTTCTCTTCCAAAGCTGCCTTGATAACATTTTCAGGACTGACATGTCCATCCTCTTCAGGTGTGATGGTGACTTCGAGATCTGGCTTCTCCTGTTGGAAGAATTCATACAAGAGGGGCAAGGCTGGTCCTGCTGTGACTCTTTCAGTGGATAATCTTGTTAATTCCTCTCCTGTGTTCTTCTTAAACCATTCGAAACAGAAATTTCTAAGTCTCAGTTCGAGCTCGTTTGTGACAGTGTATTCAGTGTGACCTCCCTCTCCTGGGCAAACATTGTAGTTGCCCTCAGTTTTGTTGTATGGAATGATTGCTCATCCAAGACCTGTTCCTGGACCAATAATAAGCTTATTGTGATGCTCTCTTGGCTTTCCTGGATGCACTGTGAGGCACTTGGTCTCATCGCTAGTATCCATACCAACAGCTCCATATCCACTTGCCTCAAAATCATTAAGGAGGTAGAATTTATCTAAGCCAAACTTTTCTTTGAGTGCGTCTGCATCAATTATCTATAAAATTGGTAAGATTTTGTATTAAGATTTGCCTTAAAAAGATAGTATTAGAAAGAAGAAATCAGGAAACTGTGCTTACAGGCCATCTAGAGATGTTGGTGATCTCAACAGTTCTTCCAACTCTAGCTCCAGCAATTGCGAGTACAAAAATGCTCGGAGTAACAGTAAGCTTCTCAACAAGAGCTGATATTACATCTTCAAAACTGTCATAGTCTTTATTTGGGAATTTCTAGAATCAAATTAGTTTGGGAATAAGAGAAAAGAGGTAAGGAAAAGACTTGAATCCTGCTCTCCCAAGTTAGACAAACTTCTGTAAGGATGATTATACTACTTTGAGGTTGGTTACATCTTATTGTAAAGGATATTACAAAATGTAACCAAGACGCAAGAAAGCTAGATTAACCATTTAAGGGAGGAATAAATTGCTATGATGCATTACCTCCTCAGTTATCAGTTCTCTGAATTCAGGGTCGGTCTTTGATCTCCTGATAACTCTGAATCTTGAGTTAGTTCCTCCAATATCTGATGCGATAATGACTTTTTTATCTTGCTCTTTAGTGTCTTCCATATCTAATCTAATTAAATTATCTATTATTTAATCAGATATTCAGTTTAAAACATTGATAAAGGGGTTTTGGGGTTTTGGGGTTTTGGGGTTTTGGGGTTTTGGGGTTTTGGGG